AGGACCGCTCAGTCATCATGAGCGCCCAAAGAAATTTATCGGGGTGAACTTCAAGAGATGGCAGCAAAAGATGCTGTTCTACTTGACCACGCTAAACCTTGCAAAGGTTCTGAGTGAGGATCCTCCAGCCGTGGCAGAGAATGAGCCTGATAGGCAAAAAGTCATGGCGCTTGACACGTGGAAGCAGACAGACTATCTTTGCCGGAACTATGTGTTCAACAGCTTGGCAGACTCACTCTATAGTGTGTTTTGTTCCAAAAGCTCAGCAAAAGAGTTATGGGAATCTCTGGACAAAAAGTATAAGACTGAGGATCCCGGGGCAAAGAAATTTGTGGTTGGCCGGTTCCTTGATTTTAAAATGATAGATTCAAAAACTGTGATGAGCTAAGTCCAGGAGTTTCAAGTGATATTGCATGAAATTCATGTATTGTTTTGTGTATTTTCTGTTGAAATTTAGTTGTAATTATCTGCATGTGTTCTTGGTATATAATTTGATTTTTTTATAAATCTATTTATTTAATTTCAAATTTTGAACAACAAGCTTAAAACAGATTTTTCATATATGTTTTCCTATGAAATTGATCGAATAGATTTATATAGACATTTGTATAATGTTACTAGGAACTGTTGTGGAATTGCTCCCTATTTCAATGATTGAGAGTGCTGCCACTGTTTTGTTCGTTAAGCTAGACAGAGAGTGCTTCTGCCGTAGTTGGTTTTGACCGTCGTATCCTGGGAGACAGACGCCGGGATTCCTCAAGCACTTGACCAGTGAGGCGGCGAAATCTGTTTTAAGGAAACTGCTTCCGTGCAGGTTTCGGTTTCGTCTCTTTACCCTTTTATTGTTTTGTGTATTTCTGTTGAAATTTAGTTGTAATTATTAGCATGTGTTCTTAGTATATATATAATTTGATTTCTTCATAAATCTATTTATTTAATTTCAAAATTTGAACAACAAGCTTAAAACAGATTTTTCATATATGTTTTTCCTATGAAATTGATCGAATAGATTTATATAGACATTTGTATAATGTTACTAGGAACTGTTGCGGAATTGCTCCCTATTTCAATGATTGTAAATTATGCAATGTGATTCTCTAATTGTTTAGTTTAATTAGAATGCTCTATCATAATTTGTATACTTAATTGTATTACTCTGATCTTATTTTATGAGTATGGTTCATCATTCCCCTTCTATGATTTGCATGAATTTTATTGATGTTGCAATTTTGACATGCTAATTCTATTCTATTCTAGGTTTTAATTTGTTACATGCTTATTATTTTCTAGACTAGATTACATGATTTAATCTTTAGAATTTTTGCATGTTAATGGTTGAATGGTTATATACTTGAAGTGCTTGGTTATTAGTTTATTACATATAAACAATTCAAATTATTTACATAAACCGCATGCTACTTATTTGGTTTCATCCTATTTGTCTAATGCTGCATATGTATATTTTGATTTTGCATGCTTCTAGCTTTACTATCTAATTTGCATGTGAAATTGCTTCTAGTTTTCTAGAGTTATACACATAAGTTATTTCCATGAATAGTGTGTGATTTAATTGGATGAATTAAAGTTTTGTAATTTATGTAGAAGTTATAAGGTTTTGTAACTTGTATAGTATCTTAATTCCTTAGTTATTTTTCTATTCTATGATTTGCTAGAAGGTTAAATAATATTTAATTATATGTACAATTACTTTATATTATGTTGTCGTTTTCTACTAACTCTCTTTGTAGGCATACCTAAGCGTAGAAAGGAATTGTATGGACTACTCATTATAGGTAGTAACGATTGAAAAATCTAGAAATCCCCTAGATGTTGATTTGTGATTATGTTGGTTTGTTTACCAATTTGTAGTAGCAAGTTTTATTTGCTTATTAGACGCATTTTATATGCACGTATTTGGTTGTAGCAATTTTAAATTGTTTGCAAGTTTAAATTGCTTGTAAGTTTGGATTTTGGTTTGGTTTTCTGGAATAGAAACCAAAGTGTTTATCCTTGGCTAAAAAGGAGGTTTTATTTGTTCAGAAATGGCAACTATCACTAATGCTGCTGCTATTGCTAATGTTGGTGGGGATCTGAACCCCGGGGCAACTGGGTTGCCAACCCCTACTGTTGTGACCTCTGTGGTCAACCATAGCGTTACTCCGGCTATTCCGGGAGGACCGCTTAGTCATCATGAGCGCCCAGAGAAATTTGCTGGGGTGAACTTCAAGAGATGGCAGCAAAAGATGCTGTTCTACTTGACCACGCTAAACCTTGTAAAGGTTCTGAGCGAGGATCCTCCAGCCGTGGCAGAGAATGAGCCTGATAGGCAGAAAGTCATGGCGCTTGACACATGGAAGCAGACAGACTATCTTTGCCGGAACTATGTGTTCAACAGCTTGGCAGACTCACTCTATAGTTATGGAAAGGCGTTAAGCCTTCGTATAAATTCTTACGAATGTGGGGGTGTCTTGCAAAAGTGGCAATTCCTACACCCAAACGGGTTAGGATAGGCCCGAAATCTGTGGATTGTATATTCATTGGTTATGCACATAATAGTAGTGCATATCGATTTCTTGTACAAAAGTCTGAAATTCCAGACATACACAGGAATACCATTATGGAGTCAAGGAATGCATTTTTCTTTGAAGACATTTTTCCTTGCCGAACCAACAAGCTTAAAATGGTAGACTCTAAAACTGTGATAAGCCAAGTCCAGGAGTTCCAAGTGATCTTGCATGAAATTCATGCTGAAGGAATGCCTTTGAACAAGTCATTCCAAGTTGCTGTGATCATTGAGAAACTTCCCAATGGTTGGAAGGATTTCAAGAACTACTTGAAGCACAAGCGCAAGGAAATGTCAGTTGAAGAGCTGGTGGTCCGACTCCGGATTGAGGAGGATAATAGAAATAAAGGAGGGAGTACCTCCTCAGTAAAAGCCAATGTCATTGAACATGGCAAATCTTCTGGAATAAGAAAGAAGCCCTCTAAGTTGGGGCCTAGAGGTGGTGTTGCAAAGAAGCAGGCTTACAAGCCACCGGAACCAAGTAATCGGTTCTTTGAAAATCCTTCAGGTTGCTCCATGTAGATTTCTTCATTCAAATCTCCATTTAAGAAAGCTGTCTTTACATCCATCTGGTGAATTTCTAGATTGCGCAAAGCAGCAATCGCAATCACCATCCTACTGGATGTTATCCTAGTAACAGGTGAGTACGTATCAAAGTAATCCAGGCCTTCTCGTTGCCTGTATCCTTTGATAACGAGCCTCGCCTTATACTTGTCAATTGACCCATCGGCCTTCATCTTTCTTTTAAAAATCCATTTGCAGCCTAAAGGCTTACAACCTGGAGGTAAATCTACCAAATCCCAGGTGTGGTTCTGTAAGATGGAGTCAATCTCACTTTTGATCGCTTCTTTCCATAAAGGACTCTCAGGAGAAATCACAGCTTCGTGGAAAGTTTGAGATTCGTTCTCAACCATATAAGTTAAGAAGTCTGGACCAAAAGATTTGGATATCCTAGCCCTTTTACTCCTTCTAGGCTCATTATCACCTTGATTCTCAACTTGATCATCAAAATGATCATCATTACTAGCAAGCTCATCAAATTTCTCCAAAGATCTTGGAACCCTTTCATGGGTTCGGCAAGGAAAAATGTCTTCAAAGAAACATGCATTCCTTGACTCCATAATGGTATTCCTGTGTATGTTTGGAATTTCAGACTTGTGAACAAGAAACCGATATGCACTACTATTATGTGCATAACCAATGAATATACAATCCACAGATTTCGGGCCTATCCTAACCCGTTTGGGTGCAGGAATTGCCACTTTTGCAAGACACCCCCACATTCGTAAGAATTTATACGAAGGCTTAACGCCTTTCCATAACTCATATGCTGAGCTCTTGGAACAAAACACACTATAGAGTGAGTCTGCCAAGCTGTTGAACACATAGTTTCGGCAAAGATAGTCTGTCTGCTTCCATGTGTCAAGCGCCATGACTTTCTTCCTATTAGGCTCATTCTCTGCCACGGCTGGAGGATCCTCGCTCAGAACCTTTGCAAGGTTTAGCGTGGTTAAGTAGAACAGCATCTTTTGCTGCCATCTCTTGAAGTTCACCCCAGCAAATTTCTCTTGGCGCTCATGATGACTGAGCGGTCCTCCTGGAACAGTCGGAGTAACGCCATGGTTGACCACAGAGGTCACAACAGTAGGGGTTGGCAACCCAGTTGCCTCGGGGTTCAGATTCCTACCAACATTAGCAGTAGCAGCAGCATCAGTGATAGTTGCCATTTCGAAACAAATAAAACCTTCTTTTTAGCCAAGGCTAAACACTTTGGTTTCTATTCCAGAAAACCAAACCAAAATCCAAACTTACAAGCAATTTCAACTTGCAAACAATTTAAAATTGCTACAACTAAATACATGCATATAAAATGCGTCTAATAAGCAAATAAAACTTGCTACTACAAATTGGTAAACAAACCAACTAAATCTCAAGAAAAAAAAAATACTTCAAACATTTAAATTGAATAGCCAATCCATAAGGATTCTATTTAGTGCAAAAGCCTTTCCACGTTTAGGTATTCCTGTGCGACACAAAGGTTAGTAGTCCAAACTTTTGATTTGTACATCCCAAAGACTATTCATTTGGTTTTGTATTTGTTTTTCCAATCCCTTTAGGTATTCCTGTAAAGCAAGTTAATAGAAAATCACAAGAAAATATTAGCCAAGCAATCTAAAGAAACTTGAAACCATCTAACAAACTATTTAATAATAAAATTAAGGGGCATTTACATACAAGTCCCATTTTGTGAACTTATAATCCATTAAGTCCTAGATAAAATTATTTGCTCCTTCAAGTCCCATTAATTTTTAATAGACTAATTTACCCTTCCAAGACCTCCTCCATTGTTGTGCTTCATTCACTCTCTCTTACTCTTACTCTCTCTCTCTCTCTTAGCCGAGAACACGCGAAGAGGTGGGAAGAAGTTTTGAGGAAGATGTTACCTGTCGAAGCTCCATTGCCTAACGAAGAACAGCTCGATTACTCCATCGCGATTGAGTACAACGGTCCTCCTGTGCCCTACCAGGTCCCCAAGGTAAATCCACTGGACGTCGATTCCATCTCCATTCGCATCTCTTCAATCGTTTCCGTTTCCGAATGCGTACCAGTTGTCCCTGTTGTTGTCCCGATCGCGAAGCTTTCGAGGTTCAACAAAGGCGGAAGAAGCACGAGTCCAATGGAGGTGAATCGGAGATCGTCGTCGCTTTCGCGGAGTCAACAGGAGTTGCAGAATGAGGATTTGGAGGAATTGGCTGCAAGAGATGATGAAAAGGAGGAGTTTTATTCGGCTAATCCATCGCTGGCTCGAGATCCGAATTCGGTTTATGCTTCGAGTGTTGCTAGTTCGATTCGCAGACCTGTGGTTGAAGCAAGACGAGCTGTAGTGACTTTCGATACGGACAAGGATGAAGAGGATGAGTTATCTTCAGAGAGGTCGAGCGTCACTGATATTGCAGCGTCCCCTGTTGTGGCTCGGAGTAGAGAGAAGCGGTTGCTGAGGAAGAGTGGGGTTTGCAGTAGGTGTGGGAGACGTAACCGGTTAAGGGAGAGAGAGGCTTGTATTGTGTGTGACGAAAGGTATTGTAGCAATTGTGTGCTCAAGGCCATGGGGTCGATGCCTGAAGGGAGGAAGTGCGTGAGCTGTATTGGGCAACCCATTGATGAGTCGAAGCGGCCAAGTTTGGGGAAATGTTCGAGGATGTTGGCGAGGGTCTGCAGTCCTTTGGAGATCAGGCAGATTATGAAAGCCGAGAGGGAGTGCTCGGCGAATCAGCTTCGACCCGAGCAGCTTGTTGTGAATGGAAGACAGTTACGGCAAGAAGAATTGGCGGAGGTTTTGGGTTGCCTGATGCCTCCTCAGAAGTTGAAACCTGGGCGGTACTGGTATGACAAAGATTCTGGGCTTTGGGGGAAGGTGAAATCAGAGAATATTGTTTGGTCTATGGATTGTTTTTTCGAAATTTGTATTCACTTATTTATTTTATTTTATTTTATTTTTTTATTTGTTTACATATTTAAGAATGGAATTTCAGGAGGGAGAGAAGCCTGACAGGATTATAACTTCCAAATTGAATGTTGGGGGTAAACTTCGGCCGGATGCGAGCAACGGCAATACAAAAGTTTATATGAGATGCTTCTCATTGGAAGGGCATTGTGCGGGTGTTAAGGTATTTATGCTACACTCGGGATTATGGGCTGCATTATACTCGATATCTAGCGGTGCTTGAAGGCTATAGTGACGCAAATTGGATATCAGATATAAAGGACTCAAAGTCCACTAGTGGATATGTGTTCACTCTTAGTGGAGCAGCGGTGTCTTGGAAATCTTCCAAACAAACGCGTATATCTAGATCAACGATGGAATCAGAGTTTATTGCTTTGGATAAAGCAATGAAAGAAGCTGAATGGCTTTACCATTTCCTTGAAGATATTCCAAGTTGGTCCAAACCTGTGCCTGCTATCTGTATTCATTGTGATAGTCAATCTGCAATTGGTAGGGCACAGAGTAATATGTAAAATGGAAAGTCTAGACATATCCGTCGTAGACATAATTCCATACGACAACTACTCTCGAATGGAGTTGTCTCTATAGACTATGTAAAGTCTAAGGACAACATTGCGGATCCGCTAACCAAAGGGTTAAATCGAGTGTTAGTCGAAACGTCGTCAAAAGGAATAAGGTTGAGGCCTTTGGAAGTTACCGGAATGGAAACCCAACCTAGTTGACTGGAGATCCCAAGATCTAGGTTCAATGGGACAACCTAATTGCGTGTAACGGTGGTATGTCACTGAGGAGGTTAAACCTCCAGCCATTCCTTCTATCAGTGATACCTGCAAGTGTAGAGGTTAAGCTGAGCTTTTAATGACTCTAGTGTGTTAAGCTATTGAGCTGAGTACAGCAGGATACTCAGGTAGAGTCACCTATGTGAGTGTAAAGTGGGGCCGCTTCTAGAAGAATTGGGAGGCCAAGATTCTTTGAAACCACTCGCTGAACCAGGTTAGTGTCCAGGGCCACATAGGGCACACCGTGATTGGTAGCTCGAAAGAGAGGTCCCCGAATCCCTCCGAAATCAAAACGACGTAGTTTTCGTCGTTTCAAATTTTATTTTTTTTCAGAAGAAGAAAATTAGAAAAGAAAAAGGAAGAAGAAGAAGAAGAAAAACAGAAGGAAGAAGAAGAACTGGAGGGGCCATCAACCATTTATCTTCATCATCAACATCATCAACCATTTCAGATCCAGAAAAAAAAAACAAAACAAAATCGGGCTGGGGCGGAGGCGTGGGGATCGGCGACGGAGGCAGAGGCAGCGGAGGCGGGGTGATCTGCGACGATCGGCCGGGCTATCGGCAGAGGCAGAGGGGCCTCTCTCTCTCTTAATTCCCCCTCTATTCCCTCTTCCCCTTCCCTTTCTCTTCTCCTCTCTTCTTCTCTCCCCTCTCTGTTTCCCTCTCTCATTTCCTCTCTCTTTCTCCCTCAAAAAAAAAAAAAGGGGGATTCAGGGGAAAAATCATTTTCCAAATATTCTAGTCAATAGGCTTTACAAACTGAACAATTTGAATTATCGAAATTAGTCCAAAAATGGGTCTATCAAGCCCAAACGCTCTCTCAAATTAAACTGGCCTAACTTGAGAGAAACCAAACCATTGAATAAACTACTGTAAAGTGATAATTCTATACAATTATTATATATTTACGAAAAAAATTTATACTTAATAATTCATAAAATTTATCACTTATTCGTAATCATTTTTCCAAACACACATTGAACTGAAAATTTTCCTTTAGTTTTTAATTTATTTTTAAAATAAGTACCATTCTCTAGTAATTGCATATAAAGTTATTACAAATTCATAAAAAAATTATAATTATAATTATTAATATGTATAAAATATACAAGTTATTTGTAATTACTTTTTAACATTAACATTTACATTTACATTGATTTTTTGTTTTTGTTTTTGTTTTTGTTTTTGTTTTTATTGGTAGAGGTAGATCTAAATAGACATACTATTATATATGGGTAAATTATACTTTTAACTCTTTTAGTGTGATTCAAATATTATTTTGATTCTAATGATTTTAATTTAAACAATTTGATTCTTACATTTTAAATCTAGTGTTAATTTGATTCTGCTATCTGAATTACCATAAATTATTTTCATCTATACATCTCATGTGAGTGATTACAAAATAGTTAATTTTAATAGTTAGTTTGCGTGGAATGACTAAATTAAAACTAAATTTAAAGTGTAAGTATTAAATTATTCAAATTAAAATAATAGTGACCAAAGTAAAATTTAGAGAAAATTTCAATCCAATTGAAGTTTCTAAAAAATATTCAAATCAGTGGTCAACTTTATAAATCTTAATGAATATGTAATTATTTTTTGAAAACTCCAATAAATTGTTATTTTTTCTAAAATTTAAATCAAAATATAAAGGTTGAAAAGCATAATTTACCCATTATATATACAATAAACTAATGTCAGAATGATTTTTTTTTTTGGATTTATTATTAGGTGTCTCTCTATATGTCCTTTAAAAGGTAGTATAATACATAAAAGATAAATCTATTATACCACTATAATAATAATACATTGATTTATTTATTTATGGACAAATTACATTTACCTCCCCTGACGTTTCTAACAAATACAGATACCTCCCCCGTGATTTGAATAATTACAGTAACCTCCCTTGCTTTACCTAGCAATGTCAAGATTCCCACCTTTTGTCAAATTGTTCCAAATGGTGTTACTTTTTCTATATTAAATTACCTTATTACCCTTCCTTTTAAAATATTAAAAAATATTTTTGGATTGGAGGACAGGTTTGGAAGAAATAAACAATGTTTGGAAAAATATTTTTGGATTTAAAAAATTATTTTTTTTATTTTAAATATATAATTTTAATTTAAATATTTTTAAATATTTTATTTTATTTTGTAAATATTTTAATTTTTTAAATTTTAATATTTTAAACTCAAAACTCTACGTCAATAAATTTTTATTTTAACTTCACAAATGGTTGATATATATATGTATTAAATATACTTAAACAATTTGATAGGTATAGACTGTTAGTTTTTAAAAGTACAATCATATAATACAATCTTATGAAATCAAATAGAAATCTCGACATAATCGATCAAAATTCTAATATTTAGAGCTTGTTTGGCATGAGCGTTTTTGATGAAAATAGTCAAAATGTCAAAACATCAAATCAGAACACTTTTTTACTTTTTATACATCTTTTCTTAAAACATAAAAAAAATCAATTAAAAGAATCAATTCCGAAATAGCCCCTAATGTCTTTTTTCACCTCTCCATTTATTTATATTAATCGTAACTAATAGATTAAAATTTTACAATACATATGGCACGTTTGTTTGTTTGGTGAGTGCTACATATGAACTTAATATTCAATTCATTAACTTTTTTCTATTATAATTTGAACTCACAAAATGATTACAGGGGTGCGAACCAAAATGATAAGCAAATAAGTCTGAAAACTTAAGGCTCCGTTTGGAAAGTCTCTCAAAATATGGTTCCACCCGTTGATTTGAGTGTGTTGTTTGTTTGGATCTTTCAAATCATAATTCTACACCCATTTCTCAAAACTCAATTTAAAACAGAATTGTTACTTTTCAAAACTCATAACCAAACACATAATTCAAAACTTTTTTCAAAACTTAATTCAAATCAGTATTTTACTTTTTTAAATATTTTAAAAATATTTTAATTTTGTTAAGATTTTAAATATTTTCATATTTAAATATGTTACGATTTTTTTAATTTTTTAATTTTTTGAATATTTTTAAATATTTTAATTTCAAAATATTACAATTTTAATTTTTAAAATTTTAAAATATTTTATAAAAACAAATTCAAACTCTATTTTATAAAATTATTTTTAAATATTTTATTTTTTTTGTTATGCATTTGGTTACGATTTGAGTGTAGAGTTTTGAAAGTAGTGTGGAGTGTCGAGTTTGTATTTAGTTATGAGATTTGAAAATAAATTTTGAATTGACTTTTGAGTTATGTGTTTGGTTATGATTTAAGTATGAAGTTATGTTTTGAGTTTAAAATATTAAAATTAAAAAAATTAAAATATTTACAAAACAAAATAAAAATATTTAAATAAGAATTGTATATTTAAAATAAAAAATAATTTTTTTAATATTTAAAAAAAAAATCCAAAAATACTATTCAAAACAATGTTTGTTTTTTCCAAACCTGTCCTCCAATATAAAAACATTTTTTAATATTTTAAAAAGAAGGGCAATAAGGTAATTTATTATATAAAAAGTAACACCGTTTGGAAGAATTTGACAGAATGGAGAATCTTAACATTGTCAGGTAAAGCAGGAAAGGTTACTGTAATTATTCAAACCACAAGAGAGATCCCTGTATTTGTCAGAAATCTCAGGGAGGTAAATGTAATTTATCCTTTATTTATTTATTTTATTATAGAAAAATCCTCACATCCTTCAACAGATCCAAGGCAGTACCCGCATTGAGATCACCAAGATATTCTATTGTTAGTTCCAAACGAAAGACTATGACTTAAAAGTTTGCACTGACCCCTCAATATAAAGTTTAATTAGACTTACCCAACAGAAAAAAAATTGAACCCACGCAAAGTATCATGTATAACTTGAGGTTCTCCCCGAAGCCAAGTGCGCGGCACCCATGGGTATATATTAATCAAGCAATATGATATAAAACAGTCAACATTACTCTGATGTACGCTCCAATCAGAAAGATAGTCCCTTTGGTTTAACTCAATTTTTTAGAGCACGTATAATTAATTATTCAAATTTAAATTAAAAGATATTAGATTGTTGAATTTTTTTCTTAATTTTTTATTTTTATTTACATCCATTTTTTTAAACAACAATACATCCTGTAGGCACCGTACCTTTTTTTTTCGAGTCTAAGGTCCGTTTTCCATACAAATTGTTGTACCAACTCGCTTAAATAACAAAGAGTTGCCCTTTAATTTTTTAAAAGAAATTAAGAAACTTTTAACAATGAAAACTAAGTTAAGAACCGATCCATTATAATTAGGAATTTTCTAAGGTCAGGAGCTTAGGTACAAAAGAGAAAGATCATTGAATGATAACACTCCTTTTTACCCAATTCGAATATTAGCCTATACTAACTTTCTATTTTATAATTTTAGTGGTTAATTATTTCTTACAATTCATTTTAAGCCTAAATATCTTTAACTAACATAGAATTAGGTGATTGGAATAAAACAAGTGCCATTTATTTTAGTTTAAAGAATAAAGCCATATTTTCTTACTTACCCAAAAAAGCCATATTTTCTATTAAAACAAAGATTTTCCATCAAAAAGAGATTTTAATTAAAACATGACTATAAACTTGGACTAAAATGAACAACACTCATAAAAACACCCAAAACAACCAATTTTGCATAGAAGAGTGTATAGACTTGGACTAGTGAAGAACAATGCAACAAGGACACACATATGCTATGAAGACCAAGAAGACTTACTGTATGCCCACTTTTAGGTCTCGTTTGGAAACATACTATTTTAGTAATTTTTTGGCTTTTTGACTACAATATGAGGTAAAAAAAACTAGTATGTTTGGGGTGTCTTTTTGATTTTTTACGAAAAAATGTCTAAAAAGTAGAGAGAAAAGAGAATATTTGACTTTTTGGTATAAGTTATAGGCTTTTTGACTTTTTTAGTAACTTTTTGACTTTTTGGCTAAAATGTTAACTTGCCAAACGAGGTGTGTTTTATGTAGTGCATAAAATAAATATGACCTAATATGCAACTAATACATACAAAAATGATCCTAAGCCCGGTTTGAGGCTATTAAAATGACGAACATGCATAAAATACAAATAACAAATAAAAAGCAAAGCATATAAACTAAGTATATGATGATTCAAACCGGGCCATGCATGGTCAATATATGATTATGATAAGCCTAAAAACTTCTTGTTCTAATGAAATAAAGAAATCATGCAAAGATAAGTGAGAAAATAAGAAAAATAGACAAACTACATGATGATCATGCCACGAAAACTACCTTACATGCTTAGATATTGAGAAAAGTAAAAGAAAATGGTATTGAAACTAAAAAGAAATAAGAGATTATCTGTTGGTTTTCAAGAACCGAAGAACATGCAAAAGAAAAACAAGAAAAAAATGAAGTTTCGTGCTTGTAAGCCTTCTTCAAGCAAAGGTTTTGAGTCAGGGTCCAAGTTCTTCAATCCTCAGAATGTTTTTAAGGTTTTAGAGTTGCAGTGGGTAAGGAAATCTTGGAGTCAAGGCCAAGGGAGAGGAGAAGGGGAATGTTTGGCTCTCAAAATTCACTAAAAGCTCTCAAGTTGTTAACCTTTTGAAAGGGAAGGGAAGAGGTCCCGTTTATAGGCAGAGGGGAAGGTTCTGGAACCCATCAAGTGTTCCATTGCTTTCGCCTTGTTGTTTCCTTGTAGAAATACACCACGATTGAGTTTCAAAAACTAGCTCTACCATGCTTGGATGTGCACAAGCACAACTCTTGTGCGCACGTCCAACCATTGTGCGCATGCACGACTTGCCTTGGTACACGTGCCATCAATGCACGCATACGTTGGAGGTTCCATGCCCTTGGCTTTCTTGTGGCTTAAGTAAGCGCGAATTGCTTTTCGATCAATGTTTTTGATAAATCCAACCACTAATTTTGAAAAATTCCTTAGATTAGAATGCAACCAGGGTTTTCTCACTTTCACAGGGTTAAAAAGTTAATTTTTGGCTAAAATTGGATCCAGGGGTAAAATGGTCATTTTCATAAAAAGTTAAATTTTGGCCCAAAATAGGTTTTATATGGAAACTCTAAATAACTTTAAACATTTCGATGATGAAATAATTACCGTTTCATTATGTATTATTATGACATACATAATAACTGATGAAATAACTTTGGTATGTTCCACAGACCAAAGAGGAGGATTTTTCTATAATCTGGTATAAATAATAGATGCATCCTTGGATAACTGATGATAGTAGTCTCGAATATAATTTAGACTACCAAAAAATCTCTGTAATTGAGTTTTATCTTTAATTTCATCAGGAAATTTAGATGTAAACTCTATACTGCAGTGAATGGGTATAATACTTCCATTATGAATGTTATGACCCAAAAATCGTATTGTTGTCTGAAAAAGTTTCATTTTTGGTGCAGAAATAACTAAACCATTTCGGATAATAATATGCTTAAAGATATTAAGATGTTTAATATGCTGATCAATATAAGATGAGAAAATAAGAACATCATCTATATAACAGATAGCAAATTCTGTATAAGGAGTAAAAATGTCATTCATGATATGCTGAAATTCTAAAGGAGAATTTTTCAAACCAAAAGGCATAACATTCCATTCATAATGCCCAAAAGGTACTGTAAAAGCGGTTTTACAATGATCCTGTTCTGCAATTTGTACTTGCCAATATCCTGATTTAAGATCAAATTTAGAAAAAATTACAGCATCCTATAAACGGTCTAAAAGATCTTTTTCATTCGGAATTGGATATCTGATCCATTTCAAAGGCGTCATTAAGAGGTTTGTAATTGATTACCAATCTTGGCACACCTCTTTCTATTTCTGCATTTTTATTAACATAAAATGCCGTACAACTCCAAGATGAGTGGCTAATTCTGATCAGTTTTTTCTAAAGGAGAGAATTAGTTTATGTTTTGCAAAGTTCAGGGTAATTTTTTTTCATTTGACTAGGGTGAGCTTTGGTTAGGATGAATTTTTCATCAAAATCGGGTTCATAGGGAAGAGAAACATTGTGTCTTTTCCTTTCCCAAAAAGCATTTGGAAGATTACTACAAATTTCTGTTTGAAATTCTTTTTCAATAAGATTGATTTTATTCTATAAAAAAGGTTATTGTAACCGTTGTTCAGTTGTAAGAAAATGAATTTTTGTTTGGAGAAAATTAATTTGTTTTTCTTTAAAAGTAACTAGATCACGAATTTGATCTAGCTCTTTTGTATATGGTTCGGTTATAAATTCAAAGATAATTGGTTGATTACTGACAGTCCTATGAATGCCTTCAGGATCAATCTTGGCGATAGGCATTAAGAGACATAAAAATGGTGGTACCAAAATAATAGTTGGAGACATATTTCTGACAAGGACAAAAGATGTAGATAAACAAATGCCTTGGTTACAGATAAGCACTTCAGGTATTTTATACTTGATATGCATAGAATTACCACTAGCAGTAGTAATTTATTGGGTATTTTTTTGAAAATATCTGGTTGGAATTAATCCTTCTTGTTTGCAATTCATGTCAGCTCCACTTTCAACAAGGACAATTGCATCTTTGATAATAAAATCAGGTTGAATAACAAAAGTAATACGAATATACCATTTCTGAAATGTAACCTGATTAACAAGCATTAAATACTGGCTATCTTTATTATTCTGGTCAGAAGTTTCTGGAGCAATATGTTTACTTTTTTGTTTTGCAGTTTTAAGCTGATGTGTATCTGCTTGTATAGCTTGGTTGGCAGTTTGAAGATGCCTAATTTCCGTTTTTAAGACATTAATTTTCATTTTTAAGTCTTGAATGCTGACTGGTTTTTCAATGACAGGTGAAACTGTATTCTATTCAAAACATCCTTCATGCTATAAGATTGAATAGGGATTAAAGGAGGTTCAGTAGCAGCCTTTTGTTGTTGATAATAGATGTCTAAAAAGTTTAGCTTCATTTTTGGATCCTTAATTTGCTCAGCAAGATCTAGCATGGATTTCTGATCATCAGCTAGAACATGAATACTAGGACCCCCAAGGTCCAAACCATTCAGTTCAATAATAGATTTCCAATAAATTATTTCAGAAATCTGATTCAGATTTGTAGAACAAGAACAATTAGGTTCTGGTGTTGCTAGCTCATCACTAGAGGTAGATGGAGAGTAGAGTTCAGCAAGTTTATCTGACTTAGAGCTAGTGTCGGATTCTTCTTCTGATAATGTCTGTAATAACTGTTGAGTTATAAGGGGATCTAAAGACATTTCATTAATTTTCTGTTTTAATTTGGATCTGCAACAATTGGCGTAATGACCGGTGGTGCTGCATTTATAACATTTAACATCTTTCTTAGATGTTGTCCTTTTAATGATGGATTTCCTGGTTAGAGGGAAAAAGTTTTTCTGGTGAGAAGGAATACTGTCGGATTTTTTATAATGTTTACGATACTGTTTGGAAGATTTTTTATGATAAGATTTTTTGGTTTTTGATGGATACTGGATCTTAGTGTCATAGGCAAATTGGTAACAAAATTCACCTAATTCTTTTTTGAAGGTAAGATTCTATTTTTTCATCTGGTATTGAAGTTTAAGGTCATTGCACAAAGAAAGACCTTATTCTATGATGAGGCCTACGAGTTGGCCATAGGTGTACTGGTGATGAGGAATGGTTATGCAATCATGGCAATCGCGAAGCTTTTTCCGAACTTTTTTCTGCAAAAAGAGTAGGAAGGCCATCAATAAATTTGGATTTCCAATTTTCACTGCTAGCATGAGATCGTTGCATATCTTTTAATAAAAACACATATTTATACCAACGAAAATGGGTTAAAGATGGGCATCTAAGGTTATGAAGTAATTCACGGCTACAGTCAGCATTAACTGTTCCGCTCCCAACAAAATGGTAGAGAATTGTCTGGACTAAAGTATAAACTGCATCTTCCCGTTAAGTAGCAATATTGTCTGGACTAAAGTATAAACTGCATCTTCCCATTGAGTAGCAATATTAGTATCTGGATCAGTTTCAGTTTTGATGGCATTTAAAACTTCATTTTGTTGAGTGGGAGTAAGAACATTATCCCACCATCCTTTAAGGATACCTGTAAATCCATTGACAATGAATCTAACTATCTGATGGTTAGAATTATTATTCTGTTTGCAAACAGTGGCATAAATAATAATCTGATGTATACACACTACAAAAAAGGTCACTTTTAGCGACTAAATATTGGTCGCCAATGACATTCTGCGACCAAAAAATTTGGTCGCTACGTTTGTCGCCAAAACCCTGTCGGGAAAGGTCTTGGAGGGTTTTGCCGACCAAAAAACCGTTAGTCGGTAAAAAGCAAGTCTTTAGCTACCAAAATTTTGGTCGTCAATAGTCAATTATATTTCTTTAAAATTATACATTTACCGACCAATGTTTTAGTTGCCAATAATCAAGGAATCACCGACCAACACCTTTAGTCGCCAAAAGCAACCAGTTGCTGACCAACACTTTTGGTTGCCAAAAGCTTCAAACGTGAAAAAAAAAAAAAATCGTTGTACAACAATTTGATCCGCTCTTGCGGAGACTTGAACCGCCAACCTCCCACACCATAAACCTTATGCACCACACTTATCCTACTACGCCTCTATAGCACCACATGATTATATATGCGACATATATTATTTATATAGTATATACATCCATATTAATATAAAAGTATATGTGTAAACATAATTATTTTAATGAACATAATTTATGTAAAATAAACTATTTAGTAGCAAAATAAAAAAAGATCACTTTTGGCGACTAAACATATTTTTTAGTTGCCAATTTTATACTTTTGGCTACTAATTGTTTTTTAGTCGCTAAAAAACTTAACTTTTGCCGACCAAAGTCGGATTTGGTCGCTGAATATGCACTTTCAGCTACCAAAATTTTGGTCGCTAAAAAATTTAATTCCCGCCTTAGGATTTTTGTTCTCCCGCGCTAAAAATGACCACTTTTGGTGACTAACCTTATTTTTTTGTCGCCAATTGTAGACTTTTGGCTACTAATTTTTTTAGTCACCAAAAAGCTTTACTTTTGGCTACTAAAATTTTTTTAGTCGGTAAAACCCATATAATCAGCGACCAAACTTAGTTTTAGTCGCCAATTGTAGACTTTTGGCTACTAAAATTGTTTAGTTGCCAACAAGCTTTACTTTTGGCTACTAATGCTGTTATGGTCGCTGAAAGCTATACTTTCAGCGACCAAATTTTTTTTAGTCGGGAAATTTGGTGGCCGAATGTGCTTTTTCTTGTAGTGACACTCAGATATCCGGTATTCAGAATAACCATCTATATTCCATTCATAAATGGTTTTCCCATGATAAGAGTTCTGGCCATGGAAGAAATCTTGTTCATAAAGAATATCCAGTGGTGTAGGTCTATGATAATAATACCTACTGGGGCCTTGTAAGGTTGTCTGGCCAGTTTGCTTTGGGAAAACGGTTCGGTTAACAGATTGCATATCCTGAAAATTATTCTAGATTTCGTAGATTAATGAAAGTGTAACTCCTTTATCATCATCTTGTTGTATTTCTGGAGATTGTTGAGTAGACAATATATTTATAGAACTACTTCCTGGTGGTGCTGATTTTCCTAGATTTAAATTAGTCATTTTTCTCAAAAGGGTATCCATGAATTCATTATCCTGTTTAACATAATGTAACTTAAAATTAGTTACTTCTAAAGGTGTCTTAATATTTACTGGTTGAAGAGTAGAGGCTGGGGACGGGGCCAATTGACAATTTTTAAAAGTATTAATGGTTTCTTCGATTCTAGTCAATTGTTTTCCTACTGTTTGAAAACATAAATTAGTATAATTATTCTATTTGATGAGTGGTAAGATGCCTTTTAGTTGTAGTGTATCTTTTTGAGACATTTTGGAAGGAGTTTCCACATATGCAGTGATGATTAAAGGCTGTTGTGAAACATCACTGGGTGCTAACTGTAAAGACTGTGGTGGTGGATGGACAGATACTATGGCTTGACCACTTACTGTTGTCCATGTTCTTTGGATGCTCTCTAGGACATTAATTTGCTGATCTGGAACTATGTCCATAACTGTACTAAATTCATAATACCATTCAAGAAAAGGTCTGAGAATTTGATACTTTTCTAAATGGTAATAATACTGTTTTTTTAACTGTTAAAGCTGCTGTTCAAAATGGTTATGAAAATACCATGTTCTAAATTCCTGATATTTATCTTGCATAAAATCCTGGTTAAGTTGTTTTCAAATTTCACTTCTTTGTGTAAAATCCATTAAATTTCAAAATTCATATCACTACCTGTTGGGCTCTCAGGCCTTCTGATTTCATAAACACTATGAGGAATTTGGTTTTCGGATATATGTATCCCCTGGATTAGGGTTTCAGGAAGTGGATAACATGAGGATTTACTAGGAGGTCGAAAAGGCATTCCTTGGTTTATAGATTCAATTGGTTTAGACATAGAATGTCTGGAGGATTATGGTAAATCTACTCTATAGGGTAAATTAGAGTGATGACTCATATTAGATAGACTTCGACTTAGAGTTCTTTGGAATTTAAGGTAAACAGTACCTCCTTGTGCCTGGATAACATAATCAAGAGTTTGTCTGATAATTGGTCTAACTGGTACAACATTCTTAATTTGCCATATTTCTGGAAAAGTAATATTGTTCCGAGGAATCATTTTAGGAACAACTACTTGGCTACTGAATAGATTAGTATCTATTAGGACAGTTTGCCTTGAATCACTGTGTTTTATGATATACGGATTCAAAGTACTTAAAACCTTAAGATGAATTCTCAAAATAGCTAATAAAGGCGGTGATCCTGGTAAATACTGGTAACCATTAGTCAAGATTCTTAGTTCAAGAACTTTAGACATGTTAGGGTCTATAACTGCTATACTCAAATTTGGATAAATATTGAACTATACTGGTCCATGAGATAAACCGGTTTCAATGGCTCCCATCAAAGAAGCTTTCCAATCAAGGCATCTACTATCCCTAATTGTACAAGTAAGACTGGTATTTTGTCCTAACAGAGTTAAGGGTTTAAAAGCTATCTAGACAAGTCCTTTGTGGACATATTTATATTTTTTCAGAAAAGGTACTAAATCCTGTATTCGTAATAATTGAATTACTTCATCATCATTCTGTAAAGGAACTTCATGTTCAAAAGTTTTAATGATTTTCCTACTGGTAAAAGCAAAGGTTCCTATTTTATAAATTGTTTCTGGTTTTAGTTTTGGGATTGTCCATTTATCAAGGGCTTCCCTCACATCCTGATAGGCTACTAGTTCTGCTGCTTCTGATGTAGAAGCTACTGTATTGGCTACTGTTGTGATGGTTGCTTCTTCTACCATTTGTTCTCTGTGACCATATATGTATAATTTAAATATTATATATATGTATTATGTACATGAATAAACCTGGCTCTGATACCAGCTAAGTGCTCGAAAAGGGGGCTAGGCTAAGCATGTCTGTCAACGATTTATAAGGTGCAAGTGTCCTATAAGCAATCCCTGCTAGTGGACTAACCTATACGCAACTTGGATGGCGTCTCACTTCTCTTAACTCCATTCTATCCTCATGTGGCACAAACCTAGGAATATAAATACACATAATACAAGTATATAATAAACAAATTATGACATATATGGTCTCATGTTGTACAACAATTTACACTTTTGACGACCAAAATTGGTGATTAAAATA